TTCAAATAACATCAATAAGACAATGGTGAATTTACTTTTTCGAAAATAAAAAGTCATGAATTGAGTAGAAATAACTTTTAAACATCTTTGAAAAATGATGCCTTTATATCATTAAAATTTTTATTATTATAATTTACACTTGAAATTATTGAATAAAGTTATTTAATAATTAATTAGCACATATTTATTTGGCTAATTAATGGTCACCAACATTCAAGTGCCTAGACTAATACCCGAGAATGCTCAAAAAATTTATTAACCGGAATAATAAGATTTTAACATAATGTGGAATGTCATTTTTTAATGATTTAAATATAACTATGCGAGACAACACTTTATATCACTCAAATCACCAAAATTACCCATATAATCGAATATATGCAATACTTTTAAATAATAACTTTTATGTACATTAGATTATAATCATAACAGAAATAGGGCTATATCATATCAAAATTTTATGACGATTTTTTTGGGGGTTGATTTGCTACGTATTACGCAGAAGGTTGTTTCAGCCTCAGTTAAAAAAAGTTTATTTTCACTTTACACCTGATCTAATTGGTGTCGATTGCTAAAAATGTCAATAAATTTGAATCAGGATTGTTTTTTTAGATGGTCAAATTATTTTTTGAATCACACAAAATTTTAGAATTTATTTGCCGCCCGACTATGAGAATTAAATTCATGATTCGGTCAGTGTCACATGATTTTGAATTATTGCCCAAAATTTCGCTATCCCAAAAGTTTTAGAAAATTCCCGCAATATTGAATTGTATGAATCAATCAATCAGGTTAAGAGGAATAACAGGCAACGTAAACTGCGACAAATTAAACCGCCAATCAGGTTAAGAGGAATAACAGGCAACGTAAACTGCGACAAATTAAACCGCTAAACTCGCGCGTAAAAATTTATAAAATTTAGACTTTTTATGGATACGCTAAAATAATAGACTTTCTTCTAAAATACTATGGAAATTATGTATTCATATATTTGGTATTCTTGATTTAAATACAGCAATTTAGAGTCTTGGCAGACATTTAAAATAACACATGCAAGCTTAAGGTAAAATTTGAGTTTAGAATGGAAAGTTCTGTTCAGGTACAGTCTTGCTTCAAAAGACCAAGTCCGAGTAGCAGACCATGATTAAACCAAGGTTCATAAATTGGTTATAATTCATGCTGGAAGCATAGAAATATAAAAATTTTGGTTTAATATTCTTGACTTTCTTTTGAAATGATGATCACCGGTACAATTTCAAATAAAGCATATAATGAATTTACTATTTTGAAATAACCCTATCCAAATCCAAATTGTACATGCACAGAAAGAATAAATTCTTTTATACAACTTAAGTAGCTGATAGGATCATATTCACAAAAATCACATTTGTTTTTAAACTTTATAACTTATAATTAATTACTTGTAATATCATTTTATAGGGCTATATATTATGTTCTGAAATTAAAGTTAGTATTGTAACTTGTCAAAACAATTACTGATTTATTAATTTAAAGTATTGATATTTTCATAGGATTATATTAATATGCATGTGAACAAGCCAACTAATCTCTGTTGTAAATGTGCGCCAATTTTAATAATCCATTGTAAGAAAAAGAACTAACAGTAATGTAAGAATTAGTAAGACAATATTATTGTGATTTATGAATAATACTTGCCCAAGGCATAAATAAAATTGTATAAGAGAATAAGTTCCTGATTTCTTTTCCAAGTATGTTTAGTTGGGCGAATTGACAGCACTTGCGAAATCTTGACTTTGATAAAATTATATAATTGTCTTTTTGAACAAAATTTACGATATAATCTTTACTAGTTTCTGTTCATCGATTGGAATACGTTTTCTTTTTAATATATTTGTTTTTTTAATATATTTTGTTCTTCAGGGTTAGTAAAGCCAATCTTTTTACATTTTAGTAATTTCAATATAAACCGATTATTAATAAATTTACTATATAATTAGTATAATAATAAGTTTTCTTTTGTCATATTTTAATTAAAGTTTCTAAAGGGATTATCTAAATGATAAAGCAAATAGTGATGTTAGGCGAAACCTATTTCCAAAACGGCGTCAAACTATCTTGGCGAAGCTCTGTGATCTCAAAGTCATAGTGGCTTAAATGTCGATAAGCTCTTTCTTTTTTTGTGACATAGAAGTAAAAATTTAGTGATAACTAAAAAAACAAATGCGACCTTAACGTAATTAACTATACTATTTAGTACCTAACGATAATAAAATCGTTGTTAAAATGATATTTTATCTATTTGAGAAAGTTCAAACTTTGAATAATTTATTGTGTTTAGGACCTGCAGTTATGATTTAGGAGATTTTATTGTATTTGGAATTCGATTCTGACTTTGGCCAGCTTAATACATTGACAATAACATTTTTGCCACAAATAAAGGGATTATTTAGAAATTAGCAATTAACAATAATACTACTTCCATACGGTACCAATGTAACATATGCTTCAACTTCCTTTCTAAAATTATCTTTAGACTGCCATACCGATAAACTCAGGTAATTCAATGATTTTTTTCGTATGCAGAATTCAATTAGCGCTTTAGTAGTTTTCTCGTTATCAAGACAACTAATTAACAATTTTTTTAAAGGCGCATTGCAATGATTGAGAAAAATATCCATATACGAATCTAGTAAAGTATCTGTTAAGTCAAGATATTGTAATGTTGATGGCAATATTTCTGCAAACTGTATAATTTGTATTTTCAGCTCCTCTGGTATGCAGCTAACAAAGCACCGTAATGTGATAAATTGAAGCTTTTGTAAATTACCAATAAGATCTATAAGGTGTGTGGAAAATCCAAATTTCTTGATGTTGAGATATATAATATTTGGGCAGAAAGATTTAAGTGCTTCTAGTAATATCTTTTCTTTTTCTATAGTTTCTCCTACTGCTGCTAATTCAAATTTTAATCGCTGTAGGAATATTCCAGCCTTTTTTAAAATTAATGCTAAAGTCTCTGCATCATACGGATAAATAGCTATATCTAAAGTGCTGATCTTATAATCTAATAATTTCAACATTTTCATATTGCAATGCCAAATACGAAGTGTCTCTAAATTTTTACAATTATTTAGTACTTCGAACTCTGTGCTATAACCACAACATTCCATTATAACTTCATGTAATGAATTTTTTTGACACTCTAAGGTCGAAATGAAGCTGTAAGCTTCTATAGGATGTTCATCTCCAACTAAGCTAAACAGTCTAAGTTTCTCTTGCGATTTAACAATGAGTTTAAGAGCACGAAATAGAGCATGAAATAAATGTTGCTTATTTTGAGAATAAAATTCAAGTTCCAGAGCACTAATTTTCGTAGTATTTTTTGCCAAGACCTTCAAAAATGAAGCAACGACTTCAATGTTAAAACCTGATATTAAACTCAAAGATAAATGTTGGAGTCGTGGAAAAATTGTTTATTTTCTCCTAATGAATAAAAGATCTCTGACTTTAATTCAAGAAATCCATAAAATTCGAAATCTAATTTATGCAAGGTTGCTCCACTTTCAATAAATAATTTGAATAGTAAATTGATTATGTGATGCATGTTATTTGGTTTCGAATTCACAAGCTCGAGGTCCATCCATTTTTTAACTTTGCTTTTTAAATGTGATATATTAAGAGATTTTAAAAATCTTGCATAATCGAATAGTGTCTTTGAAAATCCTGCATTTATTCCACATTCTTTTAAAATAAAATTTTCTTCTTCGTCAAGAGATGATGAAAAATATTTAGAAATGAATAAAGGTCTTCGTCCAAGTGAGAATGGATCTTGCCAAAGAATAGGAATTGTCATTTTACACCAATGTCGGCTTACAAGAGCGCATGAGTATAAGGAATAAATTTCATTACTTAAATTATTAAGAATATTCTCCAATAATTCAGGCATATCGCCCGTAAGTATTTTCGACGCCATGAGTTTTAATAAGGGTTAAAAAAAAATTTAGAAAAGATGTTAAAATGCGTTTGTAGTATTGTTGTTCAGACCGTGGGAAATGTAATCAAACCAATACAGTATCGGTATTGATTTAAATGATGTCATAGTCAAGATCTTCCAATTTGTACTACAAACTTTACTTTGAAATAGCGGGCATGGATGCTATTTCGAATTTTGGCCTGAATTAAGCTTAATTCGGGCCAAAATTCGACTACTATTTCGTGAATTTACAGTATTAATAATTCCATCACAACACGGTGTGTGCATTTCATATGGGCGGATTTGATGCATACAATGATCATTTGAAATGTGACATATCATATTATTACCAGCATTATAAAAAAAAATAATAATTTTGGCCCATAATCAGCATAATTCAGCCCAGTTTCATGTTTATTTCCTTTTTTAGATCAGCCTGCAATCGGCCTACATTTCCAAAATAGGAAATCAAAATAAGAACCTAATTGGGTAAAATTCATGTTAATCACAAAATTGATGTGCAATTCGGAAATATCACACTAATGAATATAGATCTACCATTGTGCATATAGATTATCTGACTAACAATTACGTATTTAAAATAAAAAGGTTAAAAATAACACTATTCAAAAGAGGAATATAACAAGGATGTTGAATATCATTATTATTGTCTAATGTATTTTTAACTTTTCACATTCAAAATTTTAATTAGTGGGAAAATATCTTAAATAATATAATTATCATTAAGACAAGCAAGATACAAAATATATAATTATTATTTAAAGAAATATAAACATAGTAAATAACCAGTAATTTTTTTATAGTTTTGAACAAACTTCTACCTAAGCTATCATTTTTTGTACTAACATATCAAGATTTTACAACTGTTAAAGTAAATAGAGTTGTTGTTCAAGCATTTCATACTTTTTATTATGATTATGGATGGTAAAAATCATAAATTCTGTGATTTAAAAATGATTTATACGTGAATTAAATCATTTAATCTTTAAAGGTTAATGCCAGCTGAATAAACAAAAACACCTTGTCAAAGTTCGATCTGCATTTTGAACCCGTTAAATCAAAAAATATTTTAATTTCTTCTTTTACATTCTTAATACAAATTTTATATTAAATTGCAACAATAAAATAAATTATAATTTAATCTAATAATTTAAACATCATTTTAAAGTAAGTAATTTTATCTTGTTATAAATAAACTTAGTATAATACTTGCCATTAGAAATTTCGACATAATCAATAGATTTACTCGCTAAAGAAATTCATTGATTATTAACTTAAAAATAAACACAAATAAAATAACATTACATAATTTTTCAAAACAAATACCAATAGTTGCAATTGATATTCTTTTAGTATTAATTATCTTGCTAGTGTACATACTATCTGGATGCTTTGGCAAGTTAATTGGAAATGTTTTGACTATTTTATCAGCATCTAAAAATTGCTTTTTAATTTTATAGAAATCCTTTTCATCATCAGTATCATCATCCGCATCATCCGTATAATAGTCATCTACTTCATCATCTGTATCATCATCCGCATCATCTATATAATAGTAATCCGCTTCATCATCTTTAACTTCGTCCGCATCATCCTTAACATAGTCATCCTCATCTGTGTTATAATCTGGAACATTTTCAATAATAACACTATTCACTTCTTCATTCGCATTATCATTATCATCTTCGTCTATATTATTATCAGGATCATTTTCACTATCATTATCTGCCGCTTTTTCATCCGCATCATTATCATTTAAACCATATCGATACGTCATATAATGCCAGTTAAATAATTTGGTAAAAAAATCTATGGCAGCAGGCCGTTTTTGTGGATCAGAAGCCATGCATTGTTTAGCTAATTTGACATAACAATCTGGAGTCCCAGGAGCAAATTCAGGTCATAATCCAAAACAAATCTTCACTGCAAGTTCATCGTTAAACTGATAACCGTCAAAAGGTCTTCGTCCAGTTGACATCTCTGACATTATGACTCCAAAACCATAAATATCAGCAGCTTGTGTAAGCTTTTGACCCGATAAAACTTCTGGAGCAACATAAGGCATAACTCCATAAATACCACTTTCTGGATCATTTTCATCATTCTTTTTAGACAAACCTAGATCTGAGATGTAAGATTCCAAATTTGAACTAATGTGTTGATCTTGTAAAATATTACCACTGTGAAAATCTGCATGAATATACCCTGCACTATGAATTCCAAGTAAATCAGCTGAAATATTTATAAGTATATTTAATTTAGTAAGATTTTGAAACTTTTTTTCTAAAAACTTGTAAAGATTTCCATTATCTGCATATTGAAATACCATAAAGTATTTATTTTGACTATTTTGAGTTAATCCATATATCTTAAGTTTATTACCATGCAAATAGCATTTCATAAGATTATCAAACTTATAATTAATTAAATAAATTAGTTCATTATATATTTAACAAATTGTTGAACTAATGATAATTTAACTCACCTCTCTTAAAGACAGTGTCTTGAGTGCAACGATGCTAGATGGTTCACGTGCTCTTACATAATTGTATTTATCACCATCAACTTTTCGTATTCCATCTAGCCATATTGCTTTGTATACAAAACCAAATCCTCCTTTACCAATTTCTTCGACATCAGATAATCTATCAAATGGAATCCATTCTATCACATCATGACATTTGAAGATTCTAAGTTGGAATGCTTTCATGCAATCATCAATTTCTTTATTTTTACTTGTCCATCTTGTTGCTATATCAGG